CATAACAAAGAAATAAATAAATTACAATCAAATAATAATCAATATTCAATAAAGATTAAAATTTTTAATAAAAATAACGATTTTTATTAAAGTAAATAAATGCCTATTGAAATTAAAGAATGCTAAATTAAGTGTATTACATAATTAAGGATCGCTCGTTCAAAGCATTTAAAAATATATATAAATACATTAAAACCGTAGAGGTAACTCTACATATTCTTTATTAATTTGTTTCATGAGTACTCTAGTGAAGTCACCGAACATCCAGTTAATAAATCACTTTATTAATATGTTTGCTCAATACTATAGCAAAGTTACGGAATAAGAAATAAATAAATTAATATGTCAACTGAAAAATTAATCCTTTCAAAAAAAAAGTAAATATATTTTTTTTTTTTTTGTATTTAAAAATTAGAAAATTTATATCCTTGTTCATTATTAATTTTTAATTAATTTAATTTTACTTATAATGTTATGAATATTGTTTGGCAATTCAAGTCCATTGATTTTANTATTATATACTATATAAAATGCCAATTTAAAATATAAACAAATTTATAATATAGTTATCACATAAGTACAAATATTGTCATTTCTATGTAGAAATTATAACAATTTCCCAATATAATTCAAGTGTATAATTATGCTCAAAAATAACAAAAATATCTATATTCAATTTTTTGGTCAAATTAAATTATTTTTCTTCCTTAATTGGATTAACGAATATTTTTTTAATGTTTCAAAAATTTAAAGTATAAAATACATACATACACATTACTTTTTGGTTTTGTTGAAATTTATGCATTTATCTATAATTCACATAAAAATTTCTTTTCTTTAATAAATCAATATTTGAATACTACTGCAAAATATTTTGAGAAAGCCTTTTATGATGATATTATAATCATGAGAAAAAAATCAATCTTAAAGAGAGCAAGATATTTATCACAAGCAGAAGAAACTTCCTGTATATTAGATGGACAAAATAGTGAAACAGAAGAAAATGGAGATAACTCTAGTGAAAGAAGTAAATTCAATACAGAAATTAAAACATTTATGGAAGATACTAATAATGAACTTAATTTTTATCTCAATGACAACAAAATTAAGGATACTACAGAAAAATGTCAAAAGTCATCCTCATATGTAAATTGGAGAGGAATGGACTTTGTTAATTTAGTATTAAATGAAGAAACAGATCATAATATCCCAAGTCTTGTTAATTGTTGGAATAAAAAACAAAGTTCTTTAGAGACACAAATACGTGAGAAAACAAGTTCAACATGTAATTTGAAAAATTTTGATTATTGCGCTGTTTTGAATAAAAATGATGATTGCACCAGTCCTTATAAAAATAGTGATTTACCAGATTTAATATCATTACCATATAACCAACTCAATGAGAGTGATCAAGCAGAAAATAAAAAGCAAGTTATTTATAAAAGACTTACTAAGTTTACCAATATTACTAATGATATATCTAATTACTATTATAAAGTATATGAAGCTGATAAAAGTCAACTTAATTGTGGAAAGTGGAGTATGTATATACATAAGAGAGGAAAACAATTTGTAAATATGGTGTACTATGAGTCTTATTCCGAAGAATCTTTTAGAAATGATTCTACTAAAAATTGGAATACTTATAGTACTAGATTGCAAAATAGTATATTAAGTGATACAGGAAATCATTGTAATATGACATCACTAATTTATCAAATTAAAGAGCGACAAAATTCAACTGATCCATATGGTTTATCATGGATTCATTTAGATGACCATCATGAATCTGATGAAACTTTAGATCCTACAACTTCATTACCAAATAATGCACAACCTACAATAGAAACGTCTGATGAAACACATGCTAGTTCTATTGTAAATTCATTAGATGATGAAACAAAAGCTAAAATTGGCGGTTTTAGAGATTCTAAAAATGCTACACTAAATGCTATAGCATCACCGAGTGATAAAGATAAATGTGAAATGGCTGAAAAAGCTGCAAAAGCTGCAACTACTGTTCCTCTAGAAGATCCAACACAATCCATTTCTTTAACTTCAAATAGCACGAATGGACATAACTCCTCTATAAATGAAAATACAATTTTACCTTCTACAGATGATAACTCTATACTTCCTACCACTATCGTTGAATCTCCTGAAAGTACACCATCTCATACAAACATGTTTTCTGCAGATAGCAGTTCATCTTCCTCAGGAATTTATGCATCCCCTATCAATGAATCTAGTAATTTAACAGCTAGTGTTGATGCTTCTTCATTTAATGGTACATATTCTACAAAAAACCATTCATCTCCTGCTATAGATATACTCAAATCTCCTAGTCCTAGCAGCGTACAACCTATAGCTGTTACTGAAATTAATTCTAATGGTACTCCACCTATTGTAAATGAATCATTGTCTGAGACATCTCATTCTAAATCTCCTGTGGAGGTACATGCTCCTATAATTAAAGCTGCGCTTCCCAAAAATAATACTGTGTCTCCAACATCATTTGAATCTTTAATGCCTTTAGGTATCAATGCATCTTCTAATAAAACAAATGAATCTACTACAACAAATGATGATATGCAATTAATGGGAAAAAGCTATTCCCCAACACAAAATTCACAAATTACACTTACTCCTATTGCTGAACATAATAAATTACCATTAAGCGCAGCTCAAAATTATACATTATCAAATTGTTCGAGCAACTGTCCTACAAATATGAATGTTCCAAATATTACTACCTCACAAACTCCACTGGATAATAATACTGAACCTACACCTACAATTAATCCTGCAGGAAGTATAATAACAATAGTTCCAATAGGAATACTCATTTTAGGAATTATATTCCTTTTAGTTATTCTCTATAGAGTAAGATAAAATTAATAATTAAAAATTCAAAAACATATATATATATAAAATACTAATAACTATATTAGTAAAATTTTCATAATTTTCTTATTTTTAATTCTAATTATAGTGCACTCCTATTGGATCTTGGATTCGTAATCGAAAATCAAAGAAAAAAAAAATAAGAAAAAAGATAAAAAAAATTTCAAAGAAACCAATGCCATTATCTACAAATAATATAGAGGATGGACCAATGAATAGTGGAAATCACTCTATGTTACAGCATGAAAAACAAATACCATCATGTGAGGTTAGTTATGAAAGTGAAGGAAATTTGAAATGTGAGGAGAAGGAAAAATCCAAAGAATGTAAAGGAATATACAATAAAAAAGAAAATAAACTCATTTGTGATGATACAGAAGAAGGGTCATATAAGTATGAAAATGAACTTATATGCGAAGAAAAATTAAATAAAGATAATCCTAAAAGTGAAATTGAAAAAGCGGAATTGAATGTAGATGAATCTAGAAATGAAATTGAAGATGAATTAAATAAAAATACATTAGAAAAAGATCCTGTTAATATTGTATGGCATATTAGGAATGACAGATTAAATGAGGAAATAGAAAAGGAAATAAACTTGCAAAAAGAAAAATCTACATGTGAAATTGAAATGAAAAATTTAGGATATAAAACGTCAATCAAGAATGATGTATGCAATTGGAATTCATGGGTAGATATACATATGACTGCATTACTAGAATGTAAAAAAGAGGAATGGAAATTGAATAAAAGAGAATTTTTTAATATTTGCTTAGAAGAGATCGAAAAAGTTGAAGAAAATTCTAATTTAAAAGAAATGGGAAATAATTTTGTAATGAAAATAAAAGAAGAAAATAATACCGATACAATAGATAAAAAACGTAGTATATTAGATAAATATAAAAATGAAGAGTGGTTTATTAATTTGAAGAAAGAGTGGAAAGAAGAACAAGAAAAATACTTAGGATATTTAGATGAACAAGAAATTGAAAAAATAACAGAAATGGGAATAAATAATTTTATGCTAGATAAAAAAAAAAAAATATGGAAAAAATGGATAGAATGGCAAATAGAGCATTCATACGAATACAAAAATCAGAATTGGTTTGTAAAATTATTAGGAGAATATGAAAAAGAAGAAATTCATAAAAATACAAACGATGAAAAAATAGATAAAGAAAGAAATAATGGAATAAATAAAAGTGAAATGAAGAAAAATTTGGAAAGGAGAATTTTGTTAGATATTCTTATGATGGTATTAGAGGAATGTACGAAAGAAGAGTGGGAAAAAGAAGAAGAATTTTTTAAAGCAAATATGGAAGAGATAAAAAAATATAAAAATTTGGACGAAGAAACAAACATATTAGATAATATAGAAAGAGAAAGAAGTTGGAATATTTTATCAGAGAAAAAAAAAAAGGAAATCGAAAAATGGAAAAAACAAAAATGGTTTATTGAGTTAATGTTAGAATGGAAAAATAAAGAAGAAAAATATATGATGGAGATAAATGAAGAAATTTTAGCAAAAAAGAATCAAGGAAGAGTAATAGATGTTATCTTAGAAAGACAAAGCAATATATGGAAAAAACACTGCGAAAATATTTGTAAAAAGTGGATAGATGAAGACAATAATGAAGAATGGTTTACAAAGTTAGTTAATGAATATGAAAAAGAAGAGAAAGAACATAAAAGTAGAATTTATAAAAAAAGTATAGAAAAAGAAAAGGAAAATGAAAAAACCATAGAAAGTTGTGAACCGCTAACAAAGTTTAACAAAAAGGGAGAAGAAAAAATGATAAAATATGAAAGGAATAATTTAGAGGAATCATATGAAATGAATAATTCTAAAATAATCAAAAAAAAATTAAAATGGAAGACTTTAATAGAAATATATATGGTAATATTAGAAGAATGTAGAAAAGAGGAGTGGTTATTGAATAGAGGAAAATTTTTAGAAACCTGTTTAGAAGAATTTATAGAAGAAGATAAAGAAAAATATCCAAAANATTGTATGGCATATTAGGAATGGTACATTAAATGAGGAAAAAGAAAATGAAATAAATTCGCAAAAGGAAAAATCTACATGTGAAAATGAAATGAAAAATTTGGGAAATAAAACGACAATCAAGAATAATGTATGTAATTGGAATTCATGGGTAGATATACATATGACTGCATTACTAGAGTATAAAAAAGAGGAATGGAAATTGAATAAAACAGAATTTTTTAATATTTGTTTAGAAGAGATCGAAAAAGATGGAGAAAATTTTAATTTAAAAGAAATGCGAAATCATTTTATAATGAAAATAAAAGAAGAAAATAGTACCGATACAATAGATAAAAAAAATAGTATATTAGAGAAATATAAAAATGAAAAGTGGTTTATTAATTTGAAGAAAGAGTGGAAAGAAGAACAAGATAAATACTTAGGATATTTAGAAGAACGAGAAATTGAAAAAATGACAGAAATGGGAGTAAATAATTTTATGCTAGATAAAAAAAAAAAAATATGGAAGAAATGGATAGAATGGCAAATAGAGCATTCATACGAATACAAAAATCAGAAATGGTTTGTACAATTGCTAGAAGAATATAAAAAAGAAGAAATTGATGAAAATTTAAAGGAAGAAAATATAGAGAAAGAAAGAAATAATGGAATAGATAAAAATGAAATGAAGAAAAATTTGGAAAGGAGAATTTTGTTAGATATTCTTATGATGGTATTAGAGGAATGTACGAAAGAAGAGTGGGAAAAAGAAGAAGAATTTTTTAAAGCAAATATGGAAGAGATAAAAAAATATAAAAATTTGGACGAAGAAACAAACATATTAGATAAAATAGAAAGAGAAAAAAGTTGGAACATTATATCAGAGAAAAAAAAAGAGGAAATAGAAAAATGGAAAAGAGAAAAATGGTTTATTCAGTTAATGTTAGAATGGAAAAATAAAGAAGAAAAATATATGATGGAGATAAATGAAGAAATTTTAGCAAAAAAGAATCAAGGAAGAGTAATAGATGTTATCTTAGAAAGACAAAGCAATATATGGAAAAAACACTGCGAAAATATTTGTAAAAAGTGGATAGATGAAGACAACAATGAAGAATGGTTTACAAAGATAGTTAATGAATATGAAAATGAAGAGAAAGAATATAAAAGTAGAATTTATAAAAATAGCATAGAAAAAGAAAATGAAAAAACCATAGAAAGAGATGAATCAATAACAGAGATTAATAAAAAGGAGGAAGAAAAAATGAGAAAATATGAAAGTAATAATTTAAAGGAATCACATGAAATGAATAATTCTAAAATAAACAAAAAAAAATTAAAATGGGAGACATTAATAGGAATATATATGGTAATATTGGAGGAATGTAGGAAAGAGGAGTGGTTATTGAATAGAGGAAAATTTTTAGAAACCTGTTTAGAAGAATTTATAGAAGAAGATAAAGAAAATAATCCAAAAATAATAGAAAATGATTTAGTAATGATGAAGGGAGAGGAAGAAGACATTAGTACATTAATGATTGAGAAACAAAAACTTTTATGGAATAAATGGGTAGAAAGAAACAAAAGAATGTCAGAGAAATGGAAAAAAGAAGAATGGTTTATTAATTTGAAAAAAGAATGGGGAAAAGAACAAGATAAATATGACGAATTAACAAAAGAATCAGAAATAGTAGAAATAGAAGCAGGAAAAAATCCTATGCTAGAAAAACAAAAAAGAATATGGAAACAATGGCTAAAAAAACAACGAATGTGGTTTATACTACATAGCGAGGATGAATGGTTTAACAATTTATTGGAACAATACGAAGAAGAAGAAGAAAGTATGAAAAGAATAACTAAAAAAGATACGAAAAAAGAGAAGGAAATTCATGAAAATATAGAGGAATTGAAGCAAGTAGGAGATAACGAAATAGAGAAAAATAGAAAAAAAAGGGAGAAATTGATACAAAAGGTTTTGATAGAAATACATATGACGCTATTAGAAGAATGTATGAAAGACGAATTGCAAAGAGAAAAGGAATATTTTTTTAAAAAAATGGTGGAAGAGTTGAAAATACAGGAAAATTTAGATGAGGATGTTAACATATTGGAAATAAAAAAAAAAAGTAGGAATGTTATATTAAATAATGACAAAGAGAAAATAGAAGAATGGAAAAAAAAAAAATGGTTTATAGAATTAATATTGGAAATGAAAAACAAAGAAAAGGAATACATGAAAGAAGTATATGAAGATATCATAGCAAAAAAGAATGAGGACAGGTTTTATAGTCTGTCATCTCATTCTTAGATTCGGATTCTGTTTTATTGTCTATTATCTCATTCTTAGATTGGGATTCTGTTTTATTGTCTATTATCTCATTCTTAGATTCGGATTCTGTTTTATTGTCTGTCATCTTATTCTTAGATTCGCATTCTGTTTTATTGTCTATCATCCCCTTCTTAGATTCGGATTCTGTTTTATTGTCTATCATCTCATTCATAGATTCGGATTCTCTTTTATTGTCTATCATCTCTTTCTTAGATTCAAATTCTGTTTTATTGTCTCTCATCACTTTCTTACCTTTGGATTCTGTTTTATTCTCTCTTATCTCTTTCATAGATTCGGATTTTGTTTTATTGTCTCTCATCTCTTTCTTACATTTGGATTTGATTTTATTGTCTCTCATCTCCTTCTTACATTCGGATCGTGTTTTATGGTCTCTCATCATTTCTTCACATGCGTCTAAAAATTTTAAAAATTCTGAGAGACGTTTTTCCATAACACTATCAATTAATTTTTTTTTTTCTTCTTCTGAAATATCTTGTCGATGAGATATTGAAGATAGATCTTTAACATGGTTAGCTGAAATTTTATTCCATTCATTATTCCATTTTTTTTCTTTCAAATTAGGGTCCATTCCACTTGTTACTTTATTAAACAGCTCCAACATTTTTGGAGCAATGACATTATGCCAATGATCGCACGGATTCTCATATTGAAACGGATCTTCACAATTGTTTTTTTTATTATCTAACGGACATTCTTCTGGGTATCCTTCAGCGTAAGCTTGATTTTTTGCTGCTATGTCACCCTCTGTTAATCCCCTTTCATATTTTAACTTATTTTTTTTTTGCAATATATTTTTATAAATCAAAGTTTTATAGGAATCACACTATGGATTAAATAAAAATTTTTTAAAAGTATGTTTCTTTTGTTATAATAGTAAATCAAATGGAATGTTAAAAATAATTAGAAATAAAATATATCTATATGTATATAATTTTAATTTGTAAGAGAAAATTTTATATATATAACAATAAAATTTTCACGTAATTAATATTTAGATAATTAATTTGTATTATCACTAATCGTTTATGTTTGTTAATTCAACAGTAATATATATTAATTGTTGAACATAACTCATAACAAGAAACAAGTAATATACATTTAATTAATGATCAATATTCAATAAGGTTTAAACTTTTAATAAAAATAGGGATTTTTACTAAAGTAAAGAAATTCCCATTGAAATTAAGAATGCTTAACGAAGTAGAGAACATGATTAATAATCACTTGTTTAAAGCATTTAAAAATATATACAAATACATCAAAACCGTAGAGTAAACTCTGTATGCTCTTTATTAATTTGCTTGTTCAGTACTCTAGCAAAGTCACCGAATACCCAGTTAATAAATCAATTGGCGACAACGGCAAGAAAACCGAAAACAGCATAAACATAACCCACACTGGACTAGCAGTTCAAGATGGATAAAGAATTATACAACCTTAAACCAGATTCTTTTGCGAATATAATAGAATTTAATCATTCATACATAATTGAAATTAGAAACAATCGATATAAGAGCTAAAGTACCACCTAGACTCCCAAAATTTAGTGATTGATCTTTAGAACTATATTTTAGTTGGTTTAGGATATTCGAAATGAACGCAAAAATGCAAGGAATATCCAAGTAAAAACATGTATGATATTAGAATCTTTAACATTAAACATCTACCACCAGGAAATAGCTAAATTATCAAGAGACAAAAAAATCACCGATATGTTACAATTTCAAATTAAATTAGCTAAAGTAATGTTTAAATATCCAGACGAGAAATTCATTTTAGCATGGAAGTTATTTAATGCACCAAAAAAAGTATCTGTGAAAGAATCTATTAGTTCATTTATTACGGACTGTAATTCGTATGCTCTTAGCTTTTTATGTTTCAAGAAAGAGAATAGCATATGCAGAAAGGATACTTTAAAATGCTTTAAAAGATATATACGAGAGGAATTCTTAAAAGAATTAGATAAGAAGATGGAAATGTATAAACCTTTTACATAGATAAGAAAATATTTGCTAACTGTAGAAAATAGAGGAACAAAGATAGATGAGGACCGAAATATCAGTATAAATGCTGCAGATCAGACCTACAAAGACAATAGTATTGGTAAGGATAAGAAACAAAGTCTTATGAAATGTTATTGTTGTGGAGGGAATAACCATTTAAAAAGATACTGTTTTTACCGAAAAAAAAGATCCAAAATTGTAATGAAATAGGACACACAGTAAAAGTATGTAGAAATAAAGTGATTCAAGATAAAGAAGATGAAATCAAAGGTATAATAACAGATAAAAGATATTATTTAAATTTTAAAATAACCAAAAATGAAACTAATCCACAGAAAATACGTCAAGTAAAAAGATACCTTAATAAACAATTGGAACACCTGGAAAGACAAAAAGAAAAGACAAAAGAAAGGTATAAATAAAATAAACCTAAAGGAAGTGACGAAGAGAAGGATAGAAAGAGGAAGAGAATAAATAATATATTTAAGGAGAAAGAAATTGACATCGATAAGAAATCCAATGAAAGGGTAACAGATTCAGCAAAAAGTGAATTATCTGTTAATAGGAAAATAGAAATTGGAAATGAAAATGGACGATGTAAGAATATGGAACAAACAGTAGAAATTAAGGGATATAACTTTAATGTATTACTAGATACAAGAGCAGATTTATGTACTGTATCTACAGTTTCAGTCAAAGAACTAGGTATAGAGCCAGACACATCAATACAACTAATAAAGTTCTGTTGAATATATAACGGAGACATTGCAATGAAATCTAAAAAGGTGAAAATATACATGAAATTTATCAATATAAATATAATAACAAGATTTGCTATGATAAAAAAAAATAAACCCTTTTATTACTTAGTGGTTTAGTAATGGACGAATTAGGATATGCCATTATAAAAAAAAAGATAGATATATATATATATATCATGGAAGTTAGTCCTGAAGTAAAAGTAGATGAATAACAGAATTCGAATAAAGAAATTATTCAGAATTTTTTTGAAGGATCTGATTTTAAAGATCAGAAAAATAAGATGGAAAAAAAATTAAGAAATAATACAAACCCTGGAAAAATAAAATAATGGAACCCAACAACAAATATAAAGTTTCTATTCAGGTACAAGGGAAACCTCGGCGTTATAAGCCTAAACAATTGAGTGAAGAAATGTAATCAGAATTACATCGAAAAATAGATGAAATGATAAAATTAAAAGTAATAAGTAAGGTCATTAATGCACATTGGACCTCACCAATAATAATCGTTCAGAAGAAAACAGGCCAATGGAAAGTAACGTTAGACTATCGGTATTTAAATAAATTTATACTAGATGATTTATATGTCATCCCACACATGAAACACATATTTCAAACGTTTTATGGAACAAAATGTTTTTCGCAAATAGCCTTCAAAAATGGATTTTGGAATATCGCATTGGAGGAAAGTAGTAAAGCATATAATGGATTTATAGTTCCTAAGAGGGGACCATTTATATATAACGTATTTCCATTTGGACTAAAAACAAGTCCTACAAATTTTCATAGAATAATGGAAGATATTTCTATGAAATTCATTCAAGTGAATTATATATTTGTGTATATTGATGACATCATCATTCTTACAAAAACATTATTTGAGCACTTATAAGTATTAAAAAGAGTATTTGAATTAGTCTGTAATAATAATTTAGGAATAAATACAGAAAAGTGTGAACTTTTTAAAACATCTATAACTTATCTTGGGCAAGAGATAGATCGAAATGGTATAAGACCTTCATTAGATAAGACGAAAACAATTATTGAAGCAGAACAACCTAAATCTAAAAGACAATTAAGATCATTATTAGGAGATTCTAATTATTACAGGAATTATATTAGGAACTTTTCAGAGTGGACTTCTAAACTAGTTCCATTGTTAACTAAGAAACATATATTTGAATGGAAAGAAGAGCATTCAAAGGCTTTGGAGCAAATCAAGAATAAAATGACAGAAATTACGCATCTTTCATTTCCAGAATTAGGAAAACCCTATACTATTTATATTGATGCATCAGATTATGCTATAGGAGCTATATTGATTCAAATTGATAAGGACACAGGTCAAACTAAATTCATTCATTACACATCGAAGAATTTAAATGAAGTACAACAGAGATGGAGTACGGTTGAAAAAGAATTATTTGCTATAGTAGCAGCATGCTAAATATTCGATTATTATATTATAGGATCTAAGACTTTAATTAAAACAGATTGTAAAGGTATTACTGATATGGATTCAATTAATACTTGAAAATTATATCTATGGAAGTTAAGACTATCTGCATTTAACTTGGAATTTGAACATATTGAAGGAGTTCAAAATAGTTTATCTGATTGAATCACTAGATCAATAAAAGATGAAACAGATCTTCCTAATTACATGATCTTATATTGTAGTAAAGCTCAAGAATTATATGAAGATTTATATGTTATACCTTCTTGCGAGTAAATAGCAAATGAAGCAAGAAATGATAAAGATAACATACCGAGAGACGTAGTACGGAAGGATGATTTCCCAGTTCACTATAGAACAGGAGGATTATATATATTAGAAAAATATAGAAATCATTTAATGTATTGGTTTCACAGTAGTAAACTCGCAGGACATGATGGAGTAAATAAAACACTAAAGAAAATACAAAAACATTTCTGGTGGCCCAATATTAGTAATGATATTGAAGAATACGTTACAAATTGTTTACTTTGTTAAGTAATTCGTAATCGGAAATTTAAACCTAACAATAAGCAAGTTTTTATCAAAAACGAATGTATTTGATATGGTTTCATTAGATATTATAGGTCCTGAAACATGGAAAGGTACAGAATACTTTATACAAGTAGCAATAGATCATCATTCACGTTTTATGGTAACGAACATAACTAATAAAACACCTAATGCTATGGATGCAATTAACGTTATGAAGAAAACATGGATACCCATATTTGTATGCCCTGCAAGCATCTTAACAGATCGCGGTTCAATTTATACTAGTCAAGAATTTCATGACTATGTTACAAAAGAAATAAAAGTTAAATTATATCATTCTAGTGCATATTATCCACGAGGAAATCGTATAAATGAAAGTTCTCATAAATGCATAGATTATATCATGAAGACTTTATATGAAGAAAAAGATGTACCTTTCGTATAAATAGTAAAAAATGCAGTACTAATATATAATAATACATCTCATGGAGCTGTAGGAGAAACACCCTATTTTGCTATGTTTGGAATATATTGTATCTGTCCATGGTTTGCAAAATTAGTACGAGAAACAACTTCTCAAATGAGGATTAAATACTTAAACGATAAATGTAAAAACATACATGAAGATGTAATGAAATCAAACGAAAACCTATAATTGAGAATAAAAATATTAAGGTTGGAGATATTATCTCATACGAATTATCCGAATACAAAAGGAATCAAATGAAACACTATAGTAGAAATATACAATATAAACCATATTGTTCATTTCCTCATAGAGTAACTAAAATGGAAAGCAGAATTCTGAAAGAATTACCTATATATTATAGAGGTAAGGAAGTACAAATTCCAATGTCAATAATAAAATTGTTCAGTAACAAAACCAGGGAGATATATGAAAGGCAAATGCAAAATTTAATACAAGTTACAAATAAGAATAAAAGGAAATTAAATCTGACTCATGATTTAAAGTCTAAGGATTATCTAGAGATTTATAAACGGAGTAGTATCATAATGTGTGATATCAACGATAATCAGAACAAGCAAATTGAAAAAGGATTACAAAAAGGAATTGATGTAATAAAACAATACAAAAATAACAAACTTTAAGTAATAACAATTACCTTCCCACGGTGGTGGAGTATGGTTAATAAAAGACTTTATTAACCTTTTTGGAAAATAAAAAGACTAGTTAAATGAAGATTACGAAGTTCGTCATACATACACACACAAAAAAAAAATTGATGATTTTTATTTTGTTTGTACTTTTTTCTAAAAAAAAAGTACAAAGATTGTCAGGGAAAATTTTGATAAAAAAAAAAAAATACAAAGATCGTCAGGAAAAAAAATTGATTAAAAAGTCAATTAGAAAAATATTTGTTACCAATAAATAAATATAAAAAAAAAAAAGAAAAAAAAAGATTTTTTTTTTTGGGAATGAATTATGATTTTAATGAATTTTGTAAGAGAAAGTTTTATACATATAACAATGAAATATTCATGTAATTAACATTCATATAATTTATTTGCGTTTTTACTAATTGTTTATGTTTGTTAATTCAACAGAAATATATTAATTGCTGAATGTAACTCATAATAAATAACTAGTAAACCGTAGAGGCAACTCTATATGCTCTTTATTAATTCGTTTGTTCAGTACTCTAATAAAGTTACCGAACATCCAGTAAATAAAACATGCACAAATGTATAATAAATAAAAGTAAAATTGTTTTCTTTAAAATAAATAATCTTAAAAATAAGTACTAAATATATAACGATAACCAGAATTTAATTAATCCATAGTCAACAAATAAAGTTACAAAAAATTTAAACCAACAAACTTCTAATAACTAAAAACTTAATAAATTTTTACTCAATAAACATAACCTTCATCCTTTTCCTCACAACTTGCATATCCCAAATAAATTTTCTAAAATTCAACAATAAAATTTTTATAAAATTTATACCATGCCATAATATTCAAATAATTAATTTATCTGTTATCTTCTCTTTTTTTTTTAATATACTTATTCATTCTTAATCATAATGTCAACTTAATAATATAAATAAATAAAAATAAAAAAAATTATAAAAAATGGTAAATAATTATTAAATTTTTAATAATGAAAAACTATATAATCATAAATATTCATAAAAAAAATAGGTTTCTCCTATAATATTCCTGTGAAAAAAATAATCAACTCCCATAAAAATCATATAAAATGCTAAAAAAAAATAAAACACATTTACTTTATACCTATTTTTATTAAAAACTTAAATCTTTATTAATTATAATTTTAACTTACATATATTTTACTTATAATGTTATGATTAATATTTAACAATTCAAATTC